GCCGACAAATTCGACCTTCGGAGGACCCGTCCTGCCGTTTTGGACACAGCCTAAAGCTCTTCGAACAACCATTACATAAAGAAGAGTTTGCTGAACTTACCACGTTACTGCATGTGCGATACTTGATATTCTGTCCTTCACAAGTCCTGCGGAGGACAAAAATGAACGCCAGCTTTAAGAAACAACAATCAAACAAGCCCAAAAGSAAACCATCATCCTCCGCATCCCGACGTGGCTCCTATTTCTTATCGTTGTGACACTTTCAAAATGACCAAGGAGTGAAAGTACAATGATTATGTGTCAACCCACAAACATGGGCCTGTGGAGAATTTGTAAAGCTTTAGCAGCAAAATGTACGCAACGTAGCTTAGCATCAACACAAGGGTTTTTATTTTCTGTCAGAAGACAGAGCCCTGCAAACCACAGAAAACATGAAATTAATCTGAGTTCTAACTTATTATGATGATTAAATTATATCTCATTCTTAAATGATTATTAGTGCTGGGCATAGATTTAAAAAAAATTTAAACTCTTTATTTAGCTTTTAAAGTTTTTTACAACCAAAAACATACAACTTGAACAAAAGACCCAAAGAACAGGAGGGGTATTATCTGTATCACAAACATTAATCTGGCCTCATGAAGAATGAAAATTTGATCCACTATTCTTAGACATTATCCCCTTAGTCCAAAGTTTTGCGTGGATCCCTGCTTTAGTCCTGAGAAAAAAGGTCAGCGTCTCCATGGTGTATATTTCCTGGATAATATCCATCCACAGGGCGAAGCTCGGAGGATCGCACCTCAGCCAGTTTCTTGTAATTACCTTATTATTTCGCAATTTGTGTTTTTTTTTATAAACTTAAGATTATTTTTTGATTGAATTTATTTATTTGAGAAAAAGGGGCAGAGATAATAAGATTTTATCTTCTGCTACCTTTCATTTAATTTATGGTTTGTATTTTTGTTGTATGTTGAATTGATGTTGTTTTATTTTAAAGAAATGAATAAAGTAAATGAACTATCGAGATTTTGAAGAGATATGCATCTTCAGTCTGCAGCTATGGTGTCAGGTATCAAACCCAGAAACATTATTCTTGCATCTTTAGCGGTTTTAAAGTCAAATATATCCTGCAAAGTCTTCAGAATTCTGTCTAATAAAGGTTGCAGTCATTGGCATGCATGTTCCCACATCGTCAGATTAAAAATTTTAATTGCGAATAATCACAATTCAGTTTTTTTTAAAACAATCATTCGACTATGGCTGATGTGAGCATTTTTATATTACAATACACCCCACGTGCATCACATTTTTTAATTGTGTTTTTCTTTTTATCTTCTAATTGCTTTTCTGTTATAAGCATCTATCATTCCTCATGCATTCTTTTGGAATGAGAGTAAAAAACTCCTTGAATTCTTGATTAGTCTCATTATTAAACACAAAATATAATTATTAATTATTATATCAGGTATGTTGTCATGGTTGCTTTAAATTGAAATGATATTTTTGAATCAAACTCATCCAGTGGTGAGACAGCTCAGCATTGCAGCTCTTTTACAAATTACTTCTTCTTTCCAGCTTGCCGTCGGGAAGAGTTTTAAAATAAAAAAATGCCCATAAAGTCCAGTGACTTCCTCCTTCCTTGCTTCTGTCCATGCTGCACAGGTTAATGTGAGCGGCAACAGCCCAACAACACAGCCTCTCATTGGTTGAGCGGCGCGACGATGCTCATCTAAAACCAATAGTGATCAAGATCTCACCCGCCCGCCGTGACCACTGGATTATCGCCGTTAAACATCAGCTGCTTTAACATGATAATAACGTGCCCAGCACTAATCTTTATATGACTGCCTGTGCATTTGTGGTGATTATTATTTTTATTATTGATTGGATGGGACGAAATTTAGCATCATAAAGAGAAATCCTAAGGCTTTTTTCACAAATCAGTTCCACAAAATAGGAGCAATAATGAATCAATAATTGCATCAGGAGGCAGAAATTCTAATGCACTGGTGTTGATGGGAAGCACCATGTATAAAAACCATGTCAGGCATTTCTTGTATTGTACAGTACAGATCGTTGGCCACCTGCAAGCTACTATGATGGCTTACCCTTACGCATACTGACCGTTTCAGCCCTGTGACTACCAACCTGCCATGCTATAGACCAGTGGTTYCCAAAGTTGGGGTCGGGACCCCACTTTGGGTCCCGAAACATCAAGGTGGGGTCCTGAAAAGATTTTTTGAATTAATTACATTTTTACCTTAGTTGTTACAAAGGAGTGAAGTTAGTATATTTAAAATGGATAAATGTAGTACAAAAATATTGTTACTATGCCCATGTTTTGTTGACCTGATACAAATGTTTATTATACAAAAATAGTTGGGGGCTCAGGTCTCTGCTGCTGTTATTTTGTGGGTCAAAAGCTGAAAAGTTTGGGAACCACTGCACTTTGGTTCCCAAAGTTGGGCTTGGGACCCAATTATGGGTCATGAAGCACCTTGGATAATCTCCAGAAATCAATTTAAAGGGTAATAAAATAATTGTTGATGTAATATTTTCCATATAATTATTACAAAAACACAAAATAAGTATGAATAAGTATTTATATTTGTGTACAAGCTGTTTAGATTGTCAAAAAGCCTGTGTTTTTAGGGTTATTATCAAAGTTCGTGTACTACGACCAGTAATATTTGGGGTCAAAAGTTTTTGCCATGAATGTTTTGTGGGTCAGAAGATAAAAAGTTTGGGAACCACTGCTATAGACCAACAGAATTGTAGCTTGATTATTACATGCACACGTTTGGGAAGCTTCAGCAAAGTTAACTCAAACTTTAGCAGGAACAAATCTGAATGTGACTTGACAACTAGTTGGTGAACATGGGGCAGAAAACCTCTCCTCTTCATGTTAATTTGGATAATTTCATCTAAATTAACATCATCATTTAGGAAATGTGAAATTGAACGTTCCAGGCACAGAGTGAGCTCACATTTATCTTGCCATACAAGCCCATAAACAAATCGTTGCTCCGTAAATTAACAATTATATACCATACATTAGCAAAGCAGGCACAGTGGAGTCCTCGAGTCTGTGTCTGCTAAACAGATTAAAGTCGTCTGGATCATGACTCGCTCCAGTCTGTGGTGATTCTGCCTAAACTGTTGAGCTCACCACTTATTGAAACGGAGGATTCCTTTGTGCTCTCTCGTCAGGGGATGATAAACCATTGATGGTAACAACGATAGGCCAATCATCCGAGACCACAGTGGAAACCAATTATCTGATATTCTTTTGAGTGCGGGAACTTAAGAAGAATTCCAGTGTCCTTGCTCCTTAGTTAATCTAGAATCATGATTGAAGACAACATTTTAGAGTTTGGAATAACACTGGAGTGAAGGTTTAAGGAGGTTTTTTTTTTCAGTATTATTGCAGGGAGTGGATGTGGAGCGTGTGGCATGGCAAGAACATTAGAGCTTGCAGTGAATCCAGACGGCCCCTTCTGCCAAGCTAAACAGCAAGTCATGGAGCCTGAACCCAAACAAGAGACTTCCAAAGAGCCGAGAGACAGGTAGCAAGGATCAGGCTGAAAACTCTCACAGGGACCGGGAATATACTAACTGGACGTTTCAAAAGAGAGGGAAATAAAATGAATTTCCTTTTTCATTTCCTTTTGACATTGGGGTTTCCAAAGTGGAAGTTGAGCAGTAGAARACAGGACCCTTTTCTCTTTGGCCAAACAAATGTAAAAGAACAAGAAAAACATGTAGAAACTTGATCTTTGGCTTTAAAAGTGGTAAGACTTTTCGATATTGCGTACATGTTCTCCAAATCCCATTTCCGAGTGTTAGCCCTACCCATACTTACACTCCTACACTTACCCTTAGCCTTAGATACAAATCACAGGGGATAATGTTTAAAGCATTCTACTAAAAAATGGGAGACCCCATAAAAAAGCGGATATGCCATCACGGGATCAATAGATTGGGGCCTCATCCTCAGCAATAAGGGCGTTGTTTAGCCAGTCCTGGTAAAGTGTCATGAGGTGTGAAACTAACTTATTTTGTTGTGTGTTCAGCCTTAGAGATGGCACTTTCATCTGGGTCAAAAGGAGTTAGTTAAGGTGGTTCAGATATCGTGCCTCCTGCCTCTTGGAGGTTTTCTGGGCGTCCCAATGGGAAGAAAGAACTGAAGTCAAATCAAAGATGGCCACCACAGCTTATCAATCTTAGCAAACAAACTAAACAAATGTCTATTGCTCTGTCAGTTTTACTGATATTTGACTAAAAGCTGGTGTGGTCATAGCTGAAAGTCATCCCCAAGACACACACTTAACATTGACATGCAAGGTTGCCGGTAAATAGCGTTCCAATAAGAAATACAAGTTTCTTTTCCAGGTAAAATGGACCATTCCTGGAAGGAACGCAGACTGCCTTTGACTTGCATGTCAAATGTTTCATGATCTATTGGCACTCAAAAGTTGGGGAATACTTTCAGTACCGCCAAACAAAATGTAACCGTTTTTGGGTTTGTTATGGTTTATTATCTGAGACAACCACTTTCAATCAGGTTGACATGAAAACATGTATCCTTCTGAGAGTTCCATCAAAGTCCACTGACAGAGAAACAAACACACATGATTACCTGCCTTATATTGCTGCGAATAATAGTTTCTGAAGAGGTATTAATGAATCTTTAAAATTTTCAAGTGTAGGTCAGAATGAAGTTGAGCCTGGCTTACTTCATTGGAAATATTTGCAAAAAGACTAACATCTGATGTGTTTGCCATTCATGAGCCTCGTAAATACTGAAGCAGCAATTTTTCCTCGCCGTGACACCTAATCTATATGTCCACACTTGTTTCAAACCAACAGTGCTTTGGCATTTCCAATCAAGTACCGAGTGCTGCGTGGATTGGACTAATGAGAGCCAGGTGATCTGTCTCCTAATCCCCCTCTTGCGTGTTCCTGAAGTGGCTGTAAGCTCTTCGCACGAGCATTTGCGTGTATATAAAACTGCTGGAACGGTTATTGGTTTGGAGGGTGTTGCAGGCATAATTCCAGATCCTTTATATTTATATGTACATACATACACACACATCGTTCATATCCCATGTGAAGCCCAAACCCCAAACACCTCTCAACACATCAATTGGTTTTCCAACCAGTAGCTTTCTGAGGCTCGCCTGACCAAAATATTCTGGGCAGCCAGTGGAGAGGTGGTGGCTGCTGATATGAAACGAACTGCTGAAACAGCTACTGACCTCAGAGTTTATGGGGGATTGGTGGGGTGTTGGGGGGTGGTGTTCTGGCACTTTGAGGCTTTGACAGTCCTGTGTTTTGCAGCCTTCCTCTCTTATGTAAGTGCAGATGGATTCATGGTTAAGGGGAAACGCTAACTCCACATGGTATCTCAGCTTATGGCCTTAAATATGATCTGCGCTGCTCCTGTCATTGGTGGCTCCTTCTTGAACCCTCTGAACAGAGCAAAAGAGGGTGATTTTTTAGCAGCAAGGCTCACTGGCTACCTTTATAGCAAGTGAGCAATAGATTCTGGGAACTGTTAAAAAGGAGGAATGTAGTGAAGTCACTCTGCTGCTATTTCCCCGACAGTAAATGTGACAAAGTTTCTGTGGAAAGCATGCCCTCTGTGGGTGTTTCTGTCCACTTTTTTCCACCGTTTGCCCATCAAATCCAGTTATAATTGGCCACTTTGCCCAGTAAACACTTGGCCTTGAGCTTTAATGTTGAAGCCCACAAAGTTGACTTGAAGTTTATTGAACCAGGTGATTCTGACATGAGGATGAAAGGAATGTGAGGCCCAAAGTTTGAGCTGACATAAAATGCAATGACGAGCGAGTTAAATTTAAGCAGTGTGGGTTCAGGGTTTAAAGACCAATTTCCAACAGGTAAAAATGATTGTTCTGATTGGAGTATAAAAGCAACGCTAATAAGCTAATTCAGAGGTAATCAACCCTGTTCCTCGTCCCCCACTGTCTTATATGTTTAGACCATGAGTTCTCAAACTTTTTGGGTCTGGGGACCCCTTACAAGGGTAAAAAAATTCCAGGGACCCCCTCGTAAACCTTTTTTAAAGTAGTAAATGGTCATTTTAACCTCTAAATGCCATCGGAATATATTTTTATTTAGATTATTATGTTTTGTTTTATTAGTTCATTGTTCCCCATGCATTTTTAAAAAATAAAATCCAAATTAACAATTTAGTAAAATTTTTTGAGGACCCCCAAGATGCCTCTCGCCCCCTGGGGGTCCAGGGACCCCAGTTTGAGAACCTCTGGTTTAGACATTTCCCTGCTTCAACACACCTGATTAAAATGAATGAACGATTGACAGGCTTCTGCTAAACTTGATGACATTCTGAGTAGGTGTTTTATTATTTGAATCAGGTGTGTTGAAGCAGGAAAACAGCTAAAACATGCAGGACAGTGGGTCACGAGGAACAAGGTTAAAGACGTCTGAGGTAATTAAACAGAGGGTAATGAAACACAAACACCCTAAATAACCAATAAACAATCATATACATGAATAATTATTGTTATAATTAGGGTATTAGCTTCTAAACCTAACTTTAGGAGCCACAAATCAAAATAAATTATTCAAACCACTCCTAAAGACATAGAGAGTTGGTCTTACTTGGAGCTGAGGCATCGTCTGAGGGAATAGGAGGCTCCGCCCCCGCAGGTACGAGAGCACTCACTCCATGAGCCCCAGGCATCCCACAGCGTGTCCCTGTCTTCCTCTGATCGTGCCGTCCGGGAGCTCTGCACACAGGAAAATATGTTACCTGCATAAGGTTGTCTGTTTTTGAAAAAAAGTCATCAACTCAAATCTCAGATTAAGACTTCGACTTGTCGACAGGTTGAGAGATCGTCTCAACTGAGAAATGAAACAAGGTGAGCTTAACGTGACATATAAATCAGTTCAATTATTGCTTCAAAAGTTGAGACACAAGAGGTTCTGAGACTAAATGAAAAAGGAAGTAATCAGGAATTCTTGTTCTGACTTCTAGCCCTTTTCACTGTATATTAAACAACTGAGTCAAACTTTTAATAATGAAAAGAAATCCTTTTTTTAAAAGTTCAGGCCACATTTGTGTCTTTCTCTGTTAATTGCCTTGTGCTGTATTTGGCACTGGAGTCAGGAATATTACCACAGCCCCCAAAATCAATATTATGAGAGGACAGTTCACGTATTGGATGTAAAACAACAGTCAAAACCAGAAGATCTTCTCCATGTCCTCTATCTTATTCTGCTCCAACTTTCCTCTCCTGGTTCTTTGTGTTTTTGAAGGAGTTAAAAACTGAACTATTTATGGCAGCTGGCTATTTGAAGAAGAAAATCTGGATGTTTTAAGCGTGCATTGCAATTATACAGCAATTCTCTATCTTGGCTTTCTTTACAAGGCAACCAGCCGTACAGTTTTTGTTGAGGCTTGCTGAAATTCAGTCAGCTAAATTTTAGGAAAACTGACATCATGCGGCGTGCTTCTGCCATTTTGAACAAAAGCATCTTACCTCAGCAGCCTGTAGCAAAGGAAAAAAAACACCTCTGTAACGTCTGAATGGATGAAACATTGGAAAATAACTAAGGTGAAAGCTAAAAGGCTAAGCTGATGTTCTCCTTCCATGAAGCATCTGGATTTTCAGGTACAGGCTGAGGCATTTCTTCATTCTTGAACACTGCAAAAACTGTCCATTTTACCAAGTTTTAAAATCTTATATCAGCCAAAAAGTCTTTTGATCTTGTTTTGAGACTGATTTAC